GAGCTGTGAAAACTTAGTTAAATCTGAGAAGAAATAGTCTCAAAATTGTGTGAATAAATTTAGCAGAAAGGCGTAATCTTGCAAGTGCTGCGGTAAGAGTGAAAACATTCATACGATTATATGCTTTAGACATATCTTGTAATAGGACCCACAATTCTGTATTGTTATAAATGGCATTCTGTTTGATGTTGTTAAAAATATGAATAGAGTTAAAGGTAGATTTGAAGGGCAAGCCCGCAAAATTGTATCCTTTTAGAATATTATATTAGACGAAAATATCAGTAAGTCTTGAATTAAGCAGACGAACAAATGCCTTTCTAGCGCTTTCTAATAAGGTGATTAGACGAGTGTTATTTAAATCATATTCCTAAGGTTTCAGTTTGAGGATCGGGTAGATATATGCTAAATTCTAACGATAGGGTATTGACGAAATGTGCAGACAGCCGCAGATAATGTACTACAAACATTTCTTCGCTAGCTGTTCTAGATGTTTTAACATTTTATTCAAAATTTTTGATGGTTCTGGGGCTTTATTATTTAGAAGGTAATCAATGATCCTATACCATTTATCTGCAGAAAGTAAGGACATTAAATTATTGTAGATACATAAATCAATCAAGTCTAATGAAGTGTATGCAGAAATCCAATTCTCTGGGATCTCTTTTGAACAATTCATGATGCCTGCAACTTGTTGGAAATGTCTAATAACCTCTTTTTAACATCAGGTTTCTCAAAAAGTAAGTTACGAGATGAAGACGAATTATCAATGCATCTATCTAATATAATAGTTATTTTTCTTCGATTAAAGACTGAGTCAATCATCTGTGATAGGTTGTGTTTATAGTCGTCTACACGGGTGTTTAGCGCTTCCTGAATACTCTTAAGCTTGAAATTATATTCACGTAATTCCGCTTTTGTTTTAAAGCTAGCAAGAAGAAGTTTGATATCTGAAAGGACAGTATAAAGCATAGTTATGTGAGGAGGACAGTTAAGAAGAATGGTATTTAAGCCATTGGAGTGGGCAAGCTGGAGAAATTGCGAGTATAAATTATTTCATTTGTCATGAACAGTAAGGGTATTCAGACATTTTTTGTCATTTTCTCAAAACGATGAAGTAACTTTATGTTATTGTAGATTTTTGAAAGAGCAACAGGTTTTTTTTGAGAAGTGATAGTTTTTTGCCTTGTGTATGGGAATACATTTTTTGCCATAGAAATGAGAGTGTCTTGAAAAAGGTTCCAAGAAGAATTAAGAAGACTTTGGGACCAGACAGTTTTAGATGAAATATGTTTTAACGAATTGGAGTTCAAATTATTTTCTAAATTATCTCTAAATTTGAATCATTTGGATTCGTCCATTAAGTTATAATTGAAGGAAGATTTGACTGGACTCTTTCTTGTAAATATGGAGTGTTTTAAGGAGTTGATTATTTTGGTTGAAATAATATGATGGTTAGTGACAGAAAAATCTGTTTGAACAATTTTGCAATCAAGTATATTGAGCGCTAGTTCAGGTATCATATAAATATAATTGATCCTGAATGATGATGTTTTGTTGATGCAAGATGAATATGATGTTCTGTCATTTTTAAATTGAACATTAAACGCGTCATATAAATCGTAATTATTGAGGGAATTAATAAAATTCAAATTAAAAGAGAAGTTGTTGACACGGTCTAAGTCAGCATTTAGATCTCCGATGAAATAATATGCAAATCATTTTTGATGGCATCATCTAGTAATCGTTTTAAGAAATTAACGGACTGTTTTGTGATATCAGTTGGAGGGTTAGCAGGCGGAATATAACAATTAATGACTATTAGTTTTTGTTTGTTCACAAATTAAAGTTTTGCATAAATAATTCTATCTAGTTTAGAGTCATGAGCAAAAATGTGTTTAGCGATAAAAGGGCTAAAGAAAAGGCTAACACTTATCCCAATTGATCGGGAGTTTTAGTTATTGCTAAAAAAAGTAGTATAATCAGAAAAATCGCGGTTGAAAATGGATGAGATTTCCTTGAAATTTGTTTCTTATAGACCTATGATGTCAAATTGATTAACTAAATATAAGGAAAAAAGGTAATTTTATTTTGCTGGATCGTTTAAAGAATGGATATTATGAGTAGTGATTCTAAGATTTGAGAGGGAGGAGTGTGAGAACTAGGAGTATTTTATATTATTCATTGTAGGAACAGTAATCATGATATTGATAATAATTAATTTGGAAAGCTGCCGATGCAGCGTTCAATTGCTTTGTCAAAATCTTTAGTTAATGGTTTGAAAATTTGTGTGTCATGTTTTTTAAGAATAATTTTGTTAAGGAGTGTGGTTTGGAGATCATGATAGGATCTAAATAACTTATTGAATATAGGAGTAAATTCTGAAATACGTTGTTGTTGTTTTTGACAAATAAGAACTAGTTGTTCATTTATTTGTTTTTGTAACTGGACGGTGCAAAAATCAGTATTAATGTGTGGGTATTTTTGGTCTACTTCAGTAGCAGAATCAGGTAGGTTGTTATTGAAATCATCTGCCTCAGCGGAAGTGACGACTTAAATGTGAAGAGCTTTTTTAACAATGGTAAGACGTTGTTGTAAAAATTTGAATTCAACACAAAGGTCAAAGAAAGCGTTGAAAATTGAGGTAAGCTGAGAAGTGACGAATTGTTTAAAATCTGAATCATGAATTGAACCACCTTTTGCAGTACCATTATTTAATTTTGAGGTAGGAAGAACTTCAGTTTCTATGAATTCACCTATGGGATCATCTGCCCATTGCAATTTTGGTTTAATATTAGAAGATTTATTAGAAGATGTATTATTTTTGGATTTAGGTGGTGAAGGTAGGAGAGGTCTTCTTTTAGGACCTTCTTGAGAATTGTTAATTGGTTGCAGGGTCTTGATCACGTGAGCAAAAGTAATGTTTTTACGAATAATGTCTCGTATCAGACTACGTTTCAGTGCAGTGTAATTATTGAATTGGGCAGGTTGAAATCTTTGATAAAGATTTTGCATATTATGATCCTTGGAAGATTGTTAACATCTGAGGCAGAGAAAGTGTTGTGATGTACTGACGAGCAAACAGCACAAAGTTTGACTTTTGGATAAGTTCATTCTAGTCTTTTATTATTTAAAGTCAGATTCTTAATTTCCATAGCAACCTGAGTATCTTTTTGTTGGAAAAATAGAAAAATGCATGTTATAGATAGTTGTAATTAGAGCGGGTTCTAGGAATGATCCACGCAGTAACAGAGACCATGTTTCCAATATCTTAAAGGTCATGTAGTGTAATGTTATAAGGAAGGTTAGTGAGTTTTACTGAAAAGGCTAAACGAGCTTGAATTTCAGGTCTAGAAAAGCTACAAGGGTAATAACAGATTATATCATTTAGAAGGTAAATTCTGTCTCCTTTTTTTAATTCTTTGAAGTTGACCTTTTTGTCAAAGGTAATTGTAGCTCTTTGCCAAAAGTTTTTTGTTTCCATAGTGAAACGGACAATATTGTTAAATTTGGAAAATAATTTACGTAATCTAGTTTCTGTGACATCCAGGGAATTTCTGTGACCATGATTAACCGATCAGATACGTAAAGGCAGATTTTTTTATGTCTAACAGTTAGAACGTGGTGTCAACCATATCAGGAGATTTGAAGTTGCAAAAATCATCACGTTCCGATTTGTCTATAAAGGCAACTTTAATAATTACTTGATTGTGATCAATAGGATGTTTTCCTTTTGTGGTACTGATGAATGAGTTGTACTTATCATAGCACAGATCAGTGATCTTTGAGATCTTCATTTGGGGTTTAGTCCACAGAGTTTATCCATTTGGATATACGCGAAAAATTTGATTACTTGAGTTGAAGGTGCTTCAAAGCTGAGAGTCGAAGTGTCTAAAATGTTTTCTGACATGTCGAAGGACTCGTCAACACTTAGTAGGTTTTGGTGAAGTTGTTTCTGAAGTTGAAATAATAATCTCAGAACCTTTCTCTTTATCAGGGTTGTTGATTGAACTTTTCTCGACTGGGTCAACTTCCATTGTTTTCAGAAGGACAGTTGTAACGGGTACATATGGATGTTCTAAGTTGATATCGTTGTCTAAAGTTTGGGTTGTATTTTGTTTCTTGGTTGGTTGTTTATCAGTAACTGGCGACGCAGAGTGACCGCGGTTGGTATTCTTCCTTTCATTTTTCCTTGACATTGTTGTAGATTGTTGGAAAGGCAGAAAGAGTTTTTTTTTTTTCATCCTTTTTTTTAAGACAAATAAACAAAAACAACCCATATTTGTATAATAAACATTACCTTTTTTGTATAGCAATTGCATTCCAAAAGTCGCATTCAGAAACTTTTGATAACCTTTTGTAAAAATAAAAATATTATTTTAATAAAAAATAATAAAATATTTAATTATAAATAAATATAGTAAATTACTTACTTTCTAATTCTTTCATTTCATCATAAAAATGTATTAAAATCCTTTGGTTGATTTGGTTCAGGAATCAAAAAAGGAATTAATAAATTTTCTCTTTTAACTCTAATTAAAGGATCCAGATTATTATTTATTAACAGAAATAACCAACAATCATTGGTTTTTTGTTTAAATATCTGATATCCATCACAAGATACTGTAAATGCAACATCTCGTTGATCACTAAATAAATCTTTTTCTAATAAATCTTTATATATATTTCCGTCAAAAATATCTTCTAAATCTTCAGATTCAATCTCCTTATTAGTAATATATCGATGTTGATAGAGTAATTCTTTTGCTCTATTTGCATCATAGAATTGTAATTTTAATCTGTCTTTTACTTAAAGGTATGCCATAATTTTTTTTGCTTTGCCTCTAATATCTGATATAATAGAATTACATATTGGACAAATTCTACAAGATTCATTTTGTCCAGTCAATAATGATCTACACTTAAAGCTGCCTCAGCAAGAATTGAAATGTGTACTTTGCTTCATCCCTTTTCTCTCTGGAGATTTTTAAAGGCAGAATAACATGAAATGGCAAGAGAGGGTTTGGAGGGAAAATGATAGACGACTTGGTGGATGGGTTATTGGAGGTGAAATGGAGTGGTGAACGGAAAACCGATAAAATTTTGTAATACGATTAATGATTTCGACCAATGATTAATTGGTGGTCACATGAATTTGAATTTTTATATCTGAAGAATTTTCGTTCATCGAACCGATCTATGTTTACGGAGAACGTTAAACGATATATCAATAAAATTGAAAGATGAAAAAAAAAATTTGAATTCTATAGTCATTTATTAACTGCTGCCCAATAGAGTTAGCAGTCGACACCGGAGGAGCCACCGCTGTCATTTCAGGTTTAGGTGCTGTCCGTTCAGCAACTCGAACAATAAAATGCTTGGACGCAAAGTAATTGGTTTAATCGTTAAGGATTTAGTAAGTCAACCAGAGATTCCCGCTATTTATTTTTTAACAAAAATTTTTTACCTGAACATTTGCTTATTCTATTGTATATAAACACAGTTTCAATAAAGATCATGTTAAAAAAAAAAGTTTTTTTATTGGGCATTTGAAATTTTATTATTATTAAAAGGATTAGCCCAAAAAGATTCAAATTATATACTATTTTCCGTAATTCTTAATTAATTAAATGAAAACATTTTTAAGATGAAAAATTATTTTATGTTCTATAATCAGCATTGATCGTAATGTATTCATGACTATAATCACAAGTCCACATTTTAGCTTCTTGATTACCAATGTCCAAATTCACACTGATTTCCAGTTCTTCCATTGCCAAAATTTCACTAGCTCTTGCTTCATCAACATTTTCAGGCTCACCCAGCTTGAGTAAACGTAAAGGAGCTGTACCATCCGTGGGTACGAATGAAACAGAAACTTTACCGGGAATAACAGACGAAACACCCGCATATCCTACAGCACATAAAATACGTCCCCAATTTGCATCTTGCCCGTATAAAGCGGTCTTTACTAATGATGAAGTAGAAATGGTAGATGCAATCTGTTTTGCATCCGCAAAAGTTTTGGCGCCCTATTCAAAAAACGAATTCAGTAAATTATAATCGAAAACATTTGAATAGTTTATGATAAATATTTACAAATTTACCTTAACGTGAATGGTCACAAATTTTGTAGCACCTTCACCATCTCTTACAACCAATTTTGCCAAATCGGCGGCAAATTCTGTGAGATCATCTCTAAACTGTATAAAATCTCCTCCATTTATGTCATCGATAATCAATTTCTCACCATCTTTCGTAGCTGCACCATTAGCCAATATAGCAAAGGTATCATTAGTACTCATATCATTATCTATACTGATGGCATTAAACGATCTATCCGCAGCGTGTTTTAATGCTTCGTTTAATGCTTTAACGGTTATAGGAACATCAGTTACAACAGTTGCCAATAAAGTGGCCATATTTGGATGAATCATTCCTGCACCTTTGGAAATCCCTGCCATGCTATATGTTAATCCTGACGGTAAAGTGAATTTTTTTGATCTTAACTTTGGAAAGGTATCAGTGGTCATAAAAGATTCCGCAGATTTAATCCATCCTTCATGTAATTCCTCATCTGAAGTGTTTTGTCGTTTAGCTAATTCATAAGCTTGATTTATACCGTTAACAATCTTTTCGATAGGTATATGCTGTCCAATCACCCCTGTTGACATTACTAAAGAACTTTCTTCTACACCATTTAACTTTGACACGGCATCGCTCATCATTCTCGCATTTGCCAAACCTTTTGTACCCGTTACAGCGTTAGCGCAACCTGAATTTGTTACTAGGGAATAAATATTTTGTCCATTACGTTTGTCTAATATCTCTCTGGATAATAATACTGGCGCTGCCTTAAATATATTTGTTGTGAATACTGCTGAGGATGTACACGGTCGTTCTGAAATTATTAACGATAAATCCTTTCGCCCATTTTTTTTTATGCCACAATGTATTCCTGTTGCTTTAAATCCTTTTGGATATGTCCCCTTGACAGGCACCAAATGCTTTTTTGCTTCTGGAATTTCTGAACTCATCTTGCGAATTTGATGATGAATTTTAGGTAAATTTAAAATTCGATTGGATTTTATTAAATAAGACATTTTTTTTTTCTCTTTTAAAAAAAGTTCGGTTGTAAAATTGAGTTTAAACGACTGACATTTTTATAAAAAAATCCAGATTAAAAACGAGATTAAGTCGGGATTTACCGAAAAAAGATTATCGAAAGACGCAGTAAACACGATAATTAACGCGTCAAATCAACAAGTTACGTTTAAAGTTTTTTTTTTTTTTCTAGTTGTTTTAAGGTGTGAATCCCTAAATTATCTATCTAGGAATCTTTTTTACATATTATATATGGAAAAAAAATATATAAGCGTTATTTGTTTCATTTTGTGTGATTTCAAAACGGGTGATTTATGAGACGACAATTATATATATATATATGAATTCCGATTAGATGAGATGAATAGGCGTGAGAATGATTCCTCTTCTTTTCATTGTTATCATGGTTTTCTTGTATTACTTGGTTTGCATTCTTGGGGAAGGGGGTTTCGTTATTGTTGAAATCTAAGATTTTAAATTTGGAAGTCGAGCAATAACCAGTAGTGTTTATCTTTACGATTATTAATTATTATTATTATATTATTTATTGTTATAAGACTTGGGGTTAAGATAACGACGAAAATAGTAATATTATTATTAAATACTTGGGCTAAAATTTTCTTATAAGGAGCGTTACAGTATTTTGGTTGAGTTAGTGAATGAATTTTTTTTTTAGAATTGTTTTTCGTCTGCGCCACAATGCATGCAAAAAAATTAAGGGCAATTGAAAATCTGTCAATCCTATGAAAAATGTCAAAAAAAGAAAAAAAAAAAAAATTAAAGGAGAATTACCGGATTTAATGTCAATGTTTTGCCAAAATGATGTGAGCAGAATGTAAAAAGATTCTATTCGCATTTTGTTGGACCGGGTACGGACTTTCGAAGGGAGGCGGTACTCATTTTGAGGCTAAAGTTCCGATTTTCAAAGAAAAAAAAAAAATTTAAAGTGAACATTTTAATAGCCAAAATTAAGTTTGCTGCGCCACGATAATCACTTCATATCTTCAACCTGAAGGTGAACCTGTATTTTCGTTGGGAATTTTCTCTCGTGAGATTTTCTAAATTCGAATTTATTCCCCAGCAAAAAACAACTAAAACTGGATGGTTGAATTTTATTTATTAATTTAACTTGTTAAATAACTTGTACATTCTTTTACTTGGTTTTTGTGGCAGTTCCACACCGATGGCTAAAAGTAGTTCCAATTTTTTATGCGAACTGCTGATTTTGAAATGGAGATAAGATGTAATCCTGAGATAAGATAAGTCGATCGGTTGAACTTAATACATCATAATCACGTGTCAAAGTATATTCAACATAATTGTTGCTTTCAACACCACACAAATTTAGGAAAGATAATCACAAGCATGTAACTCGAATTTAAGTTTGGAGTAAATAAAAAATCACATTTTTAGATTTCCACCCTTATTTATAAATTGTTATAAATTAAACACAAGAATTGTTTGATATTACGATTTTCAAATGTGAATCTTTACGACTTTATTTTAAAAAATTTTATAAAGAAAAAGAAAATTTTTTTTTTATTTTATTTTATTTTATTTTTTTTTTTATCCCTTTAAAAAAAAAATTTATCATGTCAGACGAAAACTTTACAGAGTCAAGGCCGCCAAGTTACGGTAGTATAGGTTCAACTTCAGGTCAACAGTTATCAACAAATTTACAAAACTTTGACCGGGTACCCTTTGAGGAAAGGGCACAACATGGGGCATATGTTTCATTACCCAGCTTTTCAGATGAAGAAGAAGATGAAGAAGAAAGAGACTATAACACATTAATTATCGAATACCTTATTACAACCCCTTTCATAATTTTAACATTAATTTCATTTATTCTGTTATTATACGCTTGGCCGACCACGGCTGATGGTACAGCTGAACATTACAAGTGGGATATTTTAATATTAGGAGCGACGGGGTGGTGTGCCGTATTCCTCGTGAGAAAACCCACATTTTTTATATTTTCGAAATTAATCAGTTTGAAAGTATCTACGAGCTCGATTTTAACTTTATTTTTTATCGGGTTTATCGAAGAACTCGTTAGAATGGGTTGGTTGTATTATTTTGTGGGCGAAGTAGATAAATTTTTAATGGCATATTGGTTAGGTTTAGGTTGGGCGACGGGTGAGGCAATATTCTTTATTATACAAAATTTTATAGAGCTCAGGTGGTATAAAGACGATTTAGAAATGGATGGGAGTAGATATGTTGAGGAAAGGAGTGAAATAGAAGAGATTTTGGGAAGACCCTTGACCAAAATTTCCGCTTGGTGGGGTGTAATGTGGAGATTTTCTTGGATAATGATTCACATTGGTTTTAGTTGCTGGATTGCTTCCATCTCTTTGTTGGTTTATCCCGCCGCTTTAATTCATGGTTTACTTCTTGTCGTTTGGGGGTATTGTTTACCTTCCTTCGGCATTCCCGCTACAAGTTACGGAACCTTGCTTATTTCCATGACCATCTTCTTAATCGGTTTGGCGTTATTTGGTCAAATAGTATAATGAAAGGATAATCTCAACACTTACATATACACTCACATATACACACACGTGCACCAACACCACACTCACATTAACAATTTTTTTATATTATTCTCTCTCTAGATTTTCTAGACTTGAAATTCTTACTTTTTTGTTTCTTTTTAAAAAATTTTTTTTTTATTTATACATATTAAGAAAAAAAACAAAAAAAAAAAAAGTCGGCGTTTTGTTTGAATGTAAAGAAAAAAAAAATTTTATAACTTTCTCACATAAATGTACTTGTATTATAATTTTTATTTGTAAACATTAAAAAAAAAAAAAAAAAAGAAACAATTTACTTTTTTCTTTTTTTCCTTTTCCCATTTTAAAAAACATTTGTTCTATTGTTGAATGAATTTACAATTTCCATGCGTGCAAATCATGATTTTCGTGTTACGTGAAAAAGGGTAAACATGATTTTTACCCGCCAAAAAAAAAAAAAGATTTTTAAACATGTTTTCATCAAATTTGATAAAAAATCATTTCAAGATTCCAAATCGTTCGATTCGAACAAGTTATTTAATTAAAAAGAAAATATTTCCCATACTATCATCACACAAAGATTACTATTATGGACATTCCCCGGGAAATTATTTTAGCTCGACGAGAGTTTCTCATGATATGTCAATAAAATCAGAAAAGTTATTGGTACCATCTATAATAGGGAATAAGGATCATTGCCCAGGTTGTGGAGCATGCTTTCAAACGTTAGACTCGACCAAACCTGGTTACTTGATCAAACCTACTCACTCAAA